CGCGAACCAGAAGACCCCGAAGACCCCGAAGACCCCGATCGGGACCCCGAAGACCCCGACCCAGAAGAGCCAGAAGAGTGAGACGAGTGAGAAGACGGCACCGAGCGAGAATGAGTAGAAAGAATCGAGAAAGAATCTGGAGAGCTTGGCTGGAGCGGGGGACGATTCTGCGGGGGTGGGGCGACTTTGGGAGGAGAAGGCGGCGGGGAGACGAGCGCGGAGGGAAGATGATGAGTGTGTTTGGCCTCATCATCATCAGAAGAAGAAGAAGAAGAAGGCTCGGAAGACGGGTCGACTGAGTCAGGAGTCCATGAGACTAGCTTCGGAAGGCCTCGACTGGTCGGTTCTCGAGATCGGATCTTCGCGTTTGATGCATCAGGCGCAATAGTACAAGGCGGAAGAGGGAACATCCCGGTCGGGGCTACAGGACCATCATCATCATCAACAAGCGGTCGATCAGGCGCGAGAGGTCGAGAGTGGACGACAGAAGCTCGACGGCCATCCGCGGCTTGATCATGCTCCTGGAGCCGCAGATGGAGATGGTGGTACTTGGAGGCGGCCGAGATGGAGATGTCTTTCCAGACATGCGGCGGGATCGGCACGTTCCTTCGTTTCTGGGGCCCGGCCTCCTCTTGCTGGGACTGAAGACTACTATTAGCAGAAAGAGTGGGGTCGATCTGGGCGGGCTGGACAAGACCAGAAGAAGAAGGGACAGGAGTGGAGGAGGGTTTGATGAGCAAGCCATCGAGTTCGGAAGAGAGTGTGCGTTGATGGAGCGTGGGTTTGCGGGCCGGACGGGAGGGCGGACTGAGGGCATAGACGGGGGTTTTGGAGCGTTGAGAGATCGGGAGAAGGTGAGAGGAGGGGCTGGGGGCGGGGCCGAGCGATCTGGAGTGTTGTTCCGAACTCGTCGGAGGAGGAGGGGGGCCGTGACGCAAGATTTGGTCGAGCTGGATCAGGGCCAGTTGGGTTGGCGAGTGGCGATTATTGGGAGCAGCCCGGGTCGGGGCGGCCGAGCGAGCAGCAGGAGCAGGAGCAGGATCAGGGAGCGGATTGGTGGCTGAATTGGGGTTGTTGATAGTCGTGGTCATAGTAGCTGTGCAGTCTGAAGTGGGTTCGATCGGCAAATAGATCGTCTGGCGGGCCCGGTTGAGGAGGAAGGAGGGGCGCGGGTGATCGCGTTCAGCGCGCGAGGGTCGATGGCCATCGGTGGGCGTGGAGATGTGCTGGCGGTTGAGGACAGCTGTGGTTGTTGTGGTCAAGGTTGAGGTGCTTGTTCTGGTGGAGGAGATGGTGGAGGAGCGGTTCAATCTGTCGAGCGAGGGAGCATTGGATGTCGTCTTCGGATGATGACTATTGATAGAAGTCGAGAGAGCAGAGGCGGAAGAGAGACGTTGGGAGTCGAGCCAGCTGAGGTTGATGTTGGAGAGCGACTTGGAGGCCGGATGAGCGAGCCGATTGGCTGCGGCGATGATCTTGTGCTGGCCGGGCTTGGTCGGAGGAGTGTCCTGCTGGTGCTGAGGGCCGCCGAGGGAGGGCAGCAGATGATGTTGTTCTTTATTTGGGGACGGCCCGGCTACTAGTTGAGAGTTGTTGTTGTTGTTGGATGAGGAGAGCAGACTGCGTTTCTTGCGGAGTCGGTTGAGGAGCTGGTTGGGCTTGGTGGTCCATCTGTTCGAGGGCGTGTTCCGGAGTAGATGGTGGGAGGGATTGGTGGATGAGGCTTGGAGGAGTAGGCCTTCGGTTTGGTCTTGTGCTTGTGCTTGTGGTTCTTCTTCTTCTTCCTGATACAAGTTGATGGGTTTATGAGAGCAGAGTGAGACTCTACTGAATTGTTGTTGATTTTTGAGTTGTTGTTGTTGGTAGTAGGTTGGGTTGTTGTTGAGTGGAGTGAGTGGTGGGATGGGTGTGTTTGGTTGAGAGAGTGTTGATGATGATGATGATGATGAGGTTGTTGTTGTTGTTGATGGTGGTGGTTTGGTGAGGTTGATTGATGAGTGGTGGGTTCGCTTGAAGAAGTTTGAGGTGGTTTTCTTGAGATGGTTGTAGCTGTAGCTGGGTTTGATGATGGTCGGCTGCTGCTGTTTGTTTGTTTTTTTTGGTTTTTGGGAGGATGTTAGTATTCAGCTGTGAATATGAGTAAGTAGTTGGTTTATCCTTAACTGTTATATTGGATTCCTGTAGTTTTGGATGATGATGATGATCGATCGGAGTAGTAGTAGTAACAGTAGCAGTAGCAGTAGTGGCAGTAGTAGTGGCAGTAGTGTTGTTGTTGTTCCTGGTGAGTGCTTTGATGACTTGGTGATCGGTGATGGTAGTCGTCGTATCACTCATCTTTTTCTTTTTTTTTCCTTTTCGACCGAGTTGTTGGCTGCTGCTCATCCAGAAGAAAATCAGATGAGCAGAGGGGGACTCCTTCTTCTTCTTCTTCTTCCCAGCTTCAAAAGAAAACAAGTCATATGACAAATAAACTCCAGTCATCTCCCAGGATTTGACCATATTCAAATCGACCCGATTCAATCAATTCTTCAGCGGACTCTCTCCCCCATGCCCATGCCAAATTACATAAACTGGCTTATGTACACAACTCCAACATCCATCGGCAATTCTTCACCAAGGCTATCTACATACATAAATACATACCCAGCAGTATCACATAAGCTGGCTATCTAAACCCAATTCTTCTGCAAACAGAATCTCTTCCATCGTCCTGCAAAACAAGCCTCATCAAGAAACCTGGATACATACACTCTTTTTAAAGAAAGCACTTCAATCAATCAGAATAGAATCTAACACAAAAAAACCAAAATTCCTCAACTCAAGCACACAGGTACTCCTAGTGGGCTCAAGAGACTCTACAGAGGAGAAAAACCATCCAAAATCACTGGGAAAAAAAAAAAAAAACAGAATGATAGGTGCCCTCTGACAACGGTGGGCCAGCTACGCTAACCGTAGCGTTAGCGTAGCGTAGTGTAGCAAAAAACCACTACAATTTAGCGTAGCGTTAGCGCTTTTCTCATTTTCCGCGCTAACGCTACGCAAATGGGGAAAAAACTTGCGCTAGCGTTTAGCGTAGCGTTAGCGCGATTCCCCCCATCTGCGCTAACGCTACGCGCGCAGGGTACAAAAAACCGCCTCGCTACGCTGCGCTACAGCAGTTTTTTAGGCGTTTTTGTGCCGCTAAAACCGTTGTAGCGTAGCGGCTCCAGAGGCGCGCTACCACTACACCAAAAATTTGGTAAGTGGTAAGCACCGTCTACAAAATAAGAGTATGCAGCGGT